GGCAGAGGGTGGACATCTTTTCAAGGTAGCCGATTCTAGCTGAGGATTAGAAGGAACTTCCTAATACCATGAGCTACTGAATAGTGACGCAGACGGTGCAGAAGGTGGCAAGCTGTCCTTCAAGTAGAGACTGCGTGGCCATCTGTCAGGGAAGCTGTAGTTGTAAGATGTCTAATTGAATGTGGGACTGGAGTAGATGACCTCCAAGATACCTTCTGACTTTAAAATTCTTTGAACTCAGGTTTGGGAACACAGCTGGTTCAGGGAACTGGTCATCTCTAGTATCTGGCTGCATCATGAGATGCATTTTACCACATGCTCACAAGAAATGTGAGGGAGCCGGACTGTGATAACCTGCACTAGGTAGCCTGGTGCAACAGATTACCAGATACCATAAAATATTTCCACACTAAGTAACCTTTTGGGGAACAGGTGTATTTATTTACCTATAAAGCTGTGCAGGTGTAACAAAGTGTGTCCCCTAGTTGTGAGACCATCTGGCAATACAGTATTTTTCGCACTATAAGACACAACTAGTTTTTGGAGGAGGAAAACAAGGGGGAAAAAATTCTGAATCTCAGAAGCCAGAACAGCAAGAGGGATCGCTGCGCAGTGAAAGCAGCAATCCCTCTTGCTGTTCTGGCTTCTGGGATAGCTGCACAGCCTGCATTGGGTCCATAAGACGCACACACATTTCCCCTTACTTTTTAGGAGGGAAAAAGTGAGTCTTATAGAGCAAAAAATACTGTATATTGAATCAGTTTGGGATTCCTAAACAGTCAATTCTGAGAATTCTGGGTCACTTCCATTTATTACCCGTGGCTCCCATTACCTTCATATAATACAAGGACCTCCAGTCCGATATTGAGAAGGTATAGTTCTTCCACCAGCAACATAGAGCCAGAAATAAGTGCAGACCTCTAAACACCCCACTGTCTTCAACCCCCTTTCTCTGCAGCTGCTAGAAACATGTCAGAGCTGGAAAAAACTTTCCGCAAATTTGCAGTGTACGGGGAAACGAGCAACAGCGGCAATGAAATAACGGGCAAGAACTTCTCCAAGATGTTGAAGGAGTGTGATGTGATGGACGGGAAGTTTGTGACCAGCACTGATGTGGACATTGTCTTCAACAAAGTCAAGTGAGCCATGGGGTGGGAGAGGCGGTGTCTGGTGAGGAATGCTGCAACCACATGGCAAGGCCACTATATTAAGTGGTCACTGCAAGGCTCTGGCCCAGAAATTGCACTTTCTCTGGTACCAAGCCTTTAAATTCTGCAAATAAAAAGTCAGTGTATTAAATCTTAGGACAGGAGTCCCCAAACTTTTTAAACAGTGGGTGAGTTCACTGTCCCTCAGACACTGTTGGGGGCCGGACTATAATTTGAAAAAATTCCTGAAAAATATGAACAAATTCCTATGCACACTGCACATATTTTATTTGCAGTGCACAAAACCAATGAGACCAATCCTTCCCTTTTATGTTGCCTGAAAAGCAGGAGTGTACCCAGGGGTTGGCCCCAGTAAAAGGCGCAGACCAATGGGAGTGCAAACATTGCCCCCCTCTATTCTGGCTCATCTCTGGCAAGGATGCAAGGGACCGATACAGCTCCTAGCCAAGGGCACAAGGGAGCCTAGGTATGCCTCTCCTGATAAGCCAGCTCTACCGGGTAGCATAGCAGCTGAACTCATTGCTCCTCTCTCACACCAGCCTTCTGCCTTGTCCCATACTTAACTGACTTGTACATGGTGACAGCACCACCCAACCCACCTGGGTAAAGTCCAAAAGTTCTCATGCGCTCTGGAGGAAAATCCTTTCCCCTTCTATTCCTCTTGTCAGAATTCCTCCTTGCCAGGAGACTGAGCGCATGGTGAGGCTTCTGCAGCTTCTGCACACTGAGGTAAATCTGGCGCGCTGAGGCGTTTCTGTTGAAAAGAACATGCGCACGCGAGCGTTCTTTTCAAGGAAACCCCTTGCCATGCCAGGTTTACCTCTGTGCGTGGGGTCTGCTCAGTCAGTCCCCGTGTGCTGGGGGCCGGATTTATGAGCCTGGCAGGCCGGATCCGGCCCTTGGGCTGTAGTCTGGGGATCCCTGCCTTAGGAGGTTAAACTCCCCCCCCCAAACAACCCCAGCCCACTGAAGATTGAGCACACTCAGAGGCCACAAAATGCTCTTTCTCTTTGAAAAGACATCTGAAGGCAGCCCTGTTTAGGGAAGCTTTTAATGTTTGATGCATTACTGTATTTTCATATTTTGTTGGAAGCCACCCAGAGTGGCTGGGGAAGCCCAGCCAGATGGGCGGGGTATAAATAATAAAATTATTACTATTATTATTAGGCTGGAATTCCCTGTGTAGAGGAAATAATGGAATGGAATATCCTAGAAAAAGGTGGGCTAGCTTGCTGGAACCCTGAACAGGAGCACTCTTAATTGAATCCAAATCTTTATTTCAGACAGACCAGCATATAGGAACACTCTATGCGGCAACATTTTGTTGTAGGGCCCACTTGTTCCTCCATAGTCTGATATAGTGGCAAAGAATGTGCAGTATGGTTTGGGTAGTTCTAGGTTAAAATCTCACCTCAGGCATAATCAAGTCACTCTGCTTTCAGCCTCATCCCTGCAAGTTCCGCGAGTCTCTTCGTCTTGCGGTTTTTTCGTCTTGCGAAGCACGGCTATTAGCGGCTTAGCGGCTATTAACGGCTTAGCGGCTTTTAGCGGCTTAGTGGCTATTAACGGCTTAGTGGCTATTAATGGCTTAGCGGCTTTAAGAAAAAGGAAACAAACTCGCAAGAACTCGCAAGACGTTTCGTCTTGCGAAGCAAGCCCATAGGGAAATTCGTCTTGCGGAACGACTCAAAAAATGGAATACCCTTTCGTCTAGCGAGTTTTTCGTCTTGCGAGGCATTCGTCTTGCGGGGCACCACTGTATAGGGATGAGAATAATGGGCTGTTGAGAGAATTACTGAGGTAATCCCCTGTGCAAAACACTTTGCACACTTGAAATGTACTATATGAAATTATTAGGCCATTTCACACAGAACCCAGTTATGGCAATATTTTCACCCTCCATTCTGATTTGTGGTACAAATTAACTGTTTTGAGCAGAGCTGAGGCAGCCTTCTCAGCCACAAAGCATCTAAGGGTCTTTGACTCTTTAACTCGCCTCGCAGGGTTGTTGTGAAGATGAAATGAGATAAGGAACTGCTCCAAGAGCCTTAGAGAAAGGGTGGGGCACAAATGTAGTTGAACAAATCAAATAGCCGCAGAGGCTAGGAGCTAACAGCATTCTCCCTCTGCAACCTTAAGGACCAAAGGGGCCCGCAACATGAACTACATCGAGTTCCAGCAAGCCGTTAAGGAACTGAGCAGAAAGCGCTTCCAGGCAAAGTCCCCAGAGGAGGCTTTATTGGCCACATACCAGCTGATGGAGGGCAAAGAACCAGCCAGCACGGGAACAGTGAGTGTGGCTTTCCTATGAAATGGGAGGCAACCACTTGTTAAAAAAATAAATAAATAATGCATTTAAATTAATTAAGTCATTCAGGGAACACACACACACACACACACACACACACACTGCATTTCTGTGGGAGGGCAGGGGAAATGTACAGAATGTAGTACTGAGAATCCCAGCTTTATTTTTATTTTTTTAAGAAAAAAAACAGTTTACAATCCTTATGGCTGGGAATATATGGCCCAAAACTGTAGGAACAATAACTCCTACAATCTCAGAAGGAATTAAGATGGGGAACAAGGTTTCAGCGCCCCGCATAAATCAAAGTAATTCATGTAAATCGCAGGTCCGTAGCAGAAACCATGCAAAATGAGAGAATATTCAAATTCCACTTGATTTGCCAAAATTATAAAGGCTGCAGAATTCACCTCTCGGTGCAGAATTTGGATAGGAAGGAAGCTGCAGCATTGGCCTACAGACCAGCACGGGAACTTCTTTAAAAATGCCGCTGAAGAGGGGTTTATCCTGAAATGATTTGGGCATCGCAAATTTGACGGTCTCCATTTTTTTTTGCTGCAGATTTTGAATAGCTTGTACCTGTGTTTATTTTTGCGCATCCATGCCATCCCGCTTTCGGTGCCCGACACAAATGCGAAAGGCTTAGAGTTTAGACATTATCTTTGAGGGATGAGGCAACGAACACATCCACGCATTCCCCCACCTCATTATTTTGCATTTTTAAGCATAAGCTCAGCGCTAACCCCTCCTTCCAAGCACCACCACCGCACCACTGACTTTCCATTTGCTTGTCTTGCAGAAATCAACCGCGGCTAGTGTTGTGGAGAGGCTGACAGACACCAGCAAATACACAGGCTCCCACAAGGAACGGTTCGATGAAACTGGCAGGGGCAAAGGGCTGGCTGGACGTACGGACCCGGTTGAAAGCCACACCGGCTATGTCTCTGCCTACAAGGGGGCTGGAACCTACGACAAGTACCACTAGATGTGGGGCACAGCCTTCTGAAAACCCTGCCTGTTCCCATTGCCTTGGGAGGGGAAGGCAATAAACATCTGCTCTGATGTGTTGCTCGCCCCTGGGTGTGTTTTTGGCTGTGTCCAGGCCTAATTTCATGCAGGTGGCAAGAAGTGAAAAAACTGGAATGGAGGAAGGGGTGTCAGAAAGAGAGTGGGGGGGGGAGGGGAAAGGACTGCAAGGTAACGTCCCCCAAATTAGGAGTAGAGAACTTCTAGGGCGCTGGCCAATGTTGGCCACAATCAACGGGCCCAGATTAAAGCCACTTGGAGGCCCAGGGCTATGAGATCTCAGGAAGCCCAAAAATTAGTAGCATCTGTTCATGAGAAACAAAACCTTCTTCTCTTCTTTATCTACTCAATGAAATTAGAACGCTGCCAAAATGTTGACATTGATAAAAAGCTTGTTTCCTTAGATGCTTCCTGCTTTTTTCTTGTTGGAATTGTCTGCGTTTGGGCCTTCAAAATTTCATCTTTAAGAAACTCTCATTTATCTTGGACTTCCTTCTCTCTGAGTATTTTTGACCATGGGATCTCACCCAGTAGCTCCTTCAGCTTTTTGAAATTGGCCTTCTTAAAGTCCAGAGTGCATGTCCGACTACACTCAGTTTTCCCTTGCCTCTGTATCCTGAAACCCAGGATAACATGATCACTGCCTCCCAAGTTTCTGAATACTACCACTTCTTTGATCAGCTCCTCCCTGTTGGTGAGTACCAGGTCCAATATAGATGATCTGCTTGTTGCTTTTTCCATCTTCTGGGAAATGAAATTGTTAGCAAGTCAATGTAAATCCAGGACTGCCAATGTAAATCCAGCACTCCCTGTCAGGGGGCCAATTTGGCCAATGATGCCATTTTCCCCAAAACATTCCCACTGGTGTGCTGGCAAAGCAAGACCACCCACCTATCAATCAATCTCCTGGTGTCATCACGATCTCAGATGATTAATATGTGGGTGGCTGTACCCAGTTATCAAATTTGGCCCACAGGGTGGGTGGATATTAAGATCTGACCCACTAGGCCAAAAGGTTTACCATCCCATCATTTTCTCCTCTATAAACCCAAAATGGTATATTGTTTGATTTCTTTTATATTGACCTACACTTCGCATATTGCTTTGAGATTCCTTTCTACTGTATTTGATTTTTATGTCATGCACACGGCAATCTCCATTTACGCAGGGCTTCTGTTTCCGGAAGACACGCACAAGGGATTCCCTTCTTCTGCTCCCGCCCTGTCCCCTTTCAATGCCGAAAAGGCACGCGTGTTGGCAGGAGAGCGTGTGCTGATTGCACGCAATTGGGGAAGATGCCTGTGTTGATTTTGAGATCTTGTTTGAGATTTGGTCCCCGTTTTGCACATTGTTTTGACAGGCTTTTGTAAAGTACTGGACCTGCACATTGTATCATGTTTTGAAACTCTTACATATGATTTATATGTTCTGCACACCAATCTGAAATTATTTAGAATATAAAATGATTAAGGAATTTTCTAAATGGAATAAAATAACAACAACAGACAAACAAATCGATAGCCGTTGCTCTAAAATGTACCCAAATTTCAAGAGTCTGTAAACCAGCTTGTGAATCTCTGTGTAACCAGCAACTCTCTGGGTGCCATCTCGATTTCAAGTATGTACAAGAACAGCTATGTGAAATACCTTCCTTTCTGGTCACACCTCTCTGTATTTCTTGCTCCAAAATACTGTGATGTTGGGCCAGAGTTGATAAGATGATCCAGAAGCTAGAAGGCTTTCATTTTACATGGAAAAACAACCAGCACCCTGCCAATCTGCAATGCAGAGCAACCTATGATGTCATAGAGAACTTGACACAGTCACAATGACCACCACAACTTGCACCATCAAGCCAGTGGTGCTTCGGGCTCAGAGCAGGCTATCCTTCCTAGGAGGAACAGGGCAGGAGCAGAACATCTAACTCAGGTAAGCCCAAGCTCAAATTAGAGCAGGGGTGGTGAAAATGTGGACTTCTAGAAGCTATTGGTATACAACTCCACCACCCTTCATTCATCATTGACTTTTCCAACTGGAACTGATGGGCGTTGGTGGCCAACAATATCCAGAGAGCCACAGGTTCTCCATCCTTGATCGGTATGCATGATTTTATTTGTTTTGTTTTGCTTTGGGTGCTACTTCAAGTTCCAGTTGTTGGGAGTAAGATTCAGGGCAAGGGCGAAAGGCCAACCCTTGTATACAAGGGGTACATTTCAACAGCATTTGTACCTCCTAATATACCTCAGAAAAATAGGTTCTTTTAAGGAATAACCAGGTGTGTGGTTTGATAGACCTATGTGTGCATGACAGGGGGAGATTTCGCTCCAAAATGTTTACCCCTGGACCTTCTTACACAGCTGCCAAGGAAGCACAGCATAAAACAATGACACCATCACTACAACACTGCTCACCCTCTGCCTTTTTTAAGAGCTCAAAGAGGGCTTTCGAGATAGTCTTGCTGGAGGGAACCAGAAACCCACGTCCCTTTTCATTCCCATTTCCCACTATTGCAGGAGGCATGGCATCTGAGCTGGAAAAGGCCTTCCACAGATATGCTGTGTATGGAGACACAACTGCCACTGGAACTGACATGACGGGCAAGAACTTCTCCAAGATGTTGAAGGAGTGTGGCGTGATGGATGGGAAGCTCGTAACCAGCACCGATGTGGATATCCTCTTCAACAAAGTCAAGTGAGCTGAGGGTGTGAGGGCTGGGTGGATTTGCGTTTGGACAGGCGCTTTGGGCCAACCCCATAGCTAAGGGCCACTGGAAGGTTGTCCTGGTCCAAGCCCTGTGTCCTCTCTACTGTGGAACGGCTCAACAATCCTGCAAGCAAAATCAGTTCAGCCTTTTCCATATGCTGTTATGGAGATCTTCAGTAAGATCATAAGAACCTGCTGAATCAGGCCAGTGACCCACCTAGTCCACCATCCTGTTCTCACAGTGGCTGATCAGATGCTTATGGGAACCCAAAATCAGGCCCTGAATTTGGCAGGAAACCCATAGGCTAACCCTACTCAGAGCTGACCTATTGAAATTAATGAATCTAAGTTAGCCAGGCCCAATAACTCTAATGAGTCTATTTTTAGTAGGACTAGCATTGGATACATCCCATAAGCAATCCTACACAGGAAGCATAATGAGGTGGCAGAATCCTGAGCTGGACAGATCTTTGAATGCTTCTGGGTTGTTGTTTTTTGGGTTTTTAAAATTCCTATGCAAGTAGAAAATGAGCACATAAGGAAAAGTGCAAGCCTGGAACTTTCCTCATGGATTTACTGGTTTCTACATTCAGGGAGCTGGGTGGGTTTTTTTGTCTCCCCCCCCCAAAAAAAAAACTTGGGGTGCCATTAAAAATGGTTTCTCCCACCTGCAATGTAAAGTGGTGCAAATCCACACCAAGATTCATGTCAGCTGTGGGTATGACACTGTGTGTGGGTCTGTGAGCAATTGGGAGGGTCTGCTGTAGGTGGGGCTCAAAGATGATGCTGTTCTCTTGTCTCCAGGAGCAAGGGTGCCCGCAACATCACCTTTCCAGAGTTCCAGGAAGCCCTGAAGGAGCTGAGCACAAAACGCTTCAAAGGAAAGTCACCTGAAGATGCTTTGGCAGCTACACACCAGATGCTGGAAGGCAAAGAGCCAGGCAATGTGGGGGTAACGGTGAGTGACAAGGAGCTTCCCTGCGAAGGAAGAGCACATCCAAACAGTCCTGCTTCCATCCCCCACCCCCAAATTATTGGGCTCTTTTGGGCAAAACCACCACACAAACTGCCAAGGGTGGACCCTAAGGACCTGTCTACAAAACCAAGTTGCCACGAGGCAGGAGTGGGAACCTCAGCTCCAGGGGTCAAACGTGGCTGGAATGTGCCCTTGAACTTCGATAATGCCTCTTGCTTATAGGAATGGGGGACAGGCAACAGTGGGTGTAGAAACTAGTCAACTGCACTATCACAGAGCTCTCCCGATGGGGCATTTTTGGTGGTCCCACAGGACCCTGAGGTTCAGCTGACCTTTACCAGCAGCCAAACTCTTATTGTGGCAGGCCCTGCCCTGCAGAACACCTTGCCATCAGAAGTCTGGCAGGAGCCATCCCTGCTCATTTTTGGACTTCTTCTAAAAACTGTGTATCATTCAGACGGACCTTTCAGATTTGCCAGCCAGCTCCTCCTGATGTGCTTGACATTGTTCTTGTTTTTGCTGTAATGCTTTGTTTTTCATCCATATATTTTAGATGAAAGTGCGGTTCATGAATATTTAAAGAAATAATTACATTTGTTGTGGTGCCCACATTTACCTCTGGTTTGGCCAACCATTGGCATGTGGCCCTCAGAAAGTTTCCCAGATGGTAAAATGGCCCTCAGGCTGAATTCACCCTGCTTTACTATCTCCACATTGGCAGGTGTCAGCACACATGTTATCATCAGGCAGCTGCCAGGGCCCCTACTGTTGTGTGTCCTAATTCACCTCCATTTCCCCCCTGGCCATTCTTAAATTTTCCACAATGCTCCTCAGCAAGCATTATATGTGGCACAAAATGAAATTGAACAGATGGCTACTTCCAGCCCCTTGGTGCTGCTAGGGTCACTGCCACAACAGCCAGGCCAATTGGGCCTCACCAGACCTCTTCCCCATTATTAGACCTATTCCCAATATAGAGCAGGAATGGACTCAGTGCAATCCTTAGAGCCCAACCACTTTAGGGATATAGTTCCATCCTACCCATGAGCCTTTGCTGTACAGTCAAGGGTTGTGCGGACCAGCAGCAGTTTGTGCACATAGTTACCTGCCCCATCCCTAAACTTTCCATAGGCTGGATTTATCCCATGACTCAGGCCCGCCGGCTTGGTCCAGTGTTGTGGGGGCTGGAGCACCCAGCCCACCCAGCACCTATGCCATGACTAATCAGCACCCACCACAACCATCACCACTTAAGTGTTCTGCTTGCTTGTCTTGCAGAAAACTGTCGCGGCTGGTGCAGTGGACCGGCTGACAGACACCAGCAAATACACAGGCTCCCACAAGGAACGTTTTGACGAAAGCGGCAAGGGCAAGGGCATCGCAGGACGTGCTGACCTGGTCAGTAACAGCGGCTATGTGGGTAACTACAAGGGGGCTGGAACCTACGACAAGTCCCACTAGATGTGGGGCACAGCCTTCTGAAAACTCTGCCTGTTCCCACTGCCTTGGAAGGGTAGACAATAAACATCTGGCCTGATCTGTTGCTCTCCTGCGTCTTGTGTGTGCCTCTGGTGCCTGAAAGAGGAGAGTGTTAATCCTCCCTTCTCCCAATCTTAAGAGCATAAGAACTTAAGGGAGTGCCTGCTGGATGAGGCCAATGGCCCATCTGAGCCTGCATCCTGTTCTTGCAATGGACAGCCAGATGCTGGAGGGAAACCCAGCAAGCAGGAGTCAACCACAAGAGCGCTCTCGTCTTCCGTGATTTCTGGTTGCTGGTATTCCAAAGCACCGCTGCCTCCCAACTGTGGTGAAAGAGCACAGTGATCACGGCTAGTAGCCATCAACAGCCATGAATTTACCAAATCCATCCTGTGGGAGCGAGTTCTGTAGTTTAACTATGCACTGGATGAAAAAGTACTTTCTGTCCTGATTCTTTCGACCTTTCCCAGTTGGGTGTCACCTGTGAATTTGATCAGCATCCCCTCAGTTCCTTCTTCCAAGTCGTTTACAAAGACGTTGAACAACAAAGGGCCCAGGACAGAACCCTGCGGCACCACACTTGTCACTTTTTCCGAAGCTGTGTGCGGCAGACACCAGCAAATAAAACTTTCTGCGTGTTATGCTGCAATTGTGGGGGTCCCTATGCCCTTTTTTGCTGTGCTGTTTCCATCATGGCCAGCAGAGAGCAGCAGCCTACCGCCAATAACCCTAGGCAATAAGCGCTCAAGTCAAAAACATGCCAGTACTGGTCTCTCATCTCCATAGGGTGTGTCTGCAGCAGCTGTTTTCCATGGAACAGCTGGTCCAGTCTTTAGCTCCTCTTTGTTAGTGTCCCTAATTAGGGCTCGATTTCTTCTGCGGCTCATCATCCCCCGCCCCAATAATGTGATTAGCATTTTTAATACGGAAATTGCTTTTTCCTGCACCGACAGAACATTTACCGTTCAAACAGATGTATAAGCGAGTGCCAGCATTGCTTCAAGAAAAGCTGGGAAAGGTCAAGAAAAGATGGAAACTAGGGAATGAAGAGTAGAGGACTTTCTACAGGCGCTAGCACCATTACGGTTAAATGCTATGAGTTGTATCTAGTGTTAGACTCATTGGGATTAAGGGGCCTAAATTAGTAAAGTCTGTTAATTTCAGTGGGTATACTCAGTAGAATTGACATTGGATACAGTCAATGGTTGTCCATGAATACTCAGAAGTAAACACGACTAGAAGTGCCAAGAGGCTTAGTCTCATGATGTAAGTGCGGCTAGACGTTTAGCCATAATTGGCTTCCTCATAGTTTTAATGGACTTGTTCATATTTTGAAGATAAAGCTATTCTGGGGTGTTTGCTAGATTCAATGAGAATGGGAGATACAGCTGTTTCTTCTAACCATGGAAGAAGATTATTTATTAAATTGTAGATGACATTTCCTTTCATATATGTATCTCAGTAGTGGGACGCAGGTGGCGCTGTGGGTTAAAGCCTCAGCACCTAGGACTTGCCGATCGAAAGGTCGGCGGTTCGAATCCCCGCGGCGGGGTGCGCTCCTGTCGTTCGGTCCCAGCGCCTGCCAACCTAGCAGTTCGAAAGCACCTTCAGGTGCAAGTAGATAAATAGGGACCGCTTACCAGCGGGAAGGTAAACGGTGTCCCGTGTGCTGCGCTGGCTTGCCAGAGCAGCGATATCACGCTGGCCACGTGACCCGGAAGTGTCTGCGGACAGCACTGGCTCCCGGCCTATAGAGTGAGATGAGCGCACAACCCTAGAGTCTGGCAAGACTGGCCCGTACGGGCAGGGGTACCTTTACCTTTACCTTATGTATCTCAGAGGTATTGATACTGAAGTTTTGAGATACCTATTTTGAGATAGGAATACAGTGGTGCCCCACAAGACGAATGCCTCGCAAGACGAAAAACCCGCTAGACGAAAGGGTTTTCCGTTTTTCAGTTGCTTCGCAAGACGAATTTCCCTATGGGCTTGCTTCGCAAGACGAAAACGTCTTGCGAGTCCTGTGATTTTTTTCGCCCCCCCTTTTTCTAAGCCGCTAAGCCGCTAATAGCCTTTTAGCCGCTAAGCCTTTAATAGCCGCTAAACCGCTAATAGCGCTAATCCGCTAAGCCGCTAATAGGGTTGCTTTGCAAGACGAAAAAACCGCTAGACGAAGAGACTCGCGGAACGGATTAATTTCGTCTTGCGAGGCACCACTGTAACTGAGTGGTTTTAGAAAATGGATGATGAATCAATTAAAAATTAGTTAATTAGTTAATAGCATAACTTCCACATGACATGCAAAGCATGTTGGAGCCCATGCAGGCTACCTATGTTTCTGTGCGCTGCTCTGGTTCGCCAGAAGCGGCTTAGTCATGCTGGCCACGTGACCTGGAACTGTACGCCGGCTCCCTCAGCCAATAAAGCGAGATGAGCGCTGCAACCCCAGAGTCGGGCACGACTGGACCTAATGGTCAGGGGTCCCTTTACCTTAGGCTACCTATTTGGAGACAGAGCATGGAGGAGTGTGATATTTCTTTTCACTTTGTTGAGCTGATACTTTGCTGATACTGAGGAAGATGCAGGGAAGAAGGAAATTGGCAGAAATAATCTTCTCCCACTTACATTAATGGGGGGAGCAGCTAGGATCTGGAGCAAGCCAATGCATCTAAAAGAGAACGTAACTCTATGGCTGATTTCCCCTCAAATATACAGAAGCGCTACTTTTTGACTCAGATGGTGGGAGTCGGGGAAGCGTGGTGCCCAAGCCAACTCTAGGTGCACATAGTTAAATGGGAATAGTTGTGTGATAATATAATGCAGATAAGAGGACACCTGCATTCCTTTGTGCATCTGCAGACCTGAATCAAGTGCACAGCAGCCCGATGCAGAGCAATACGGATTGTTTCCCTACCCCTCATTCCTTCCACTTGCAGATACCCAAATTATGGGTTTGCTAGTCACAAGGAAATTGTGCCCGACTTGAAATGGATTGAGCCTAAGAGTCAGGGACTAAGCTGAAAGAGGCTTGTTTTTCACCCATGGCCTAATTCAAAGGTCTCCAACAGGACTGCCTGCCCCCCCACGCCCCCAAGGATACCATGGCTTCAGAGGACGTTGTTTGGCATTCCAATCTCAACTTTTTTTGCGCCGCTGCCTTTTTAAACAAAAGGCCTTCCAGCCTTCTTGCTGGAAGCGGAGATGGGGCCCAAATTCAGTTTTTAGTGAAAACATTGGACACAGTCACATGGCCTCGAGCTGGGATGAAGGCCCAGGCCTTTGCGGAGACAGGTTCAAAACTTCCCCATTCCACAATGATGGATACTCCTTTTGTTCCTTGAAACTAACAACTAACAAAGGCTTTGACCCTCTCCCCCCCTCTCTCTTTTTGGAAGCAGTGGGGGAGAGGGAGCACTTGGCAGCATGAGTGGTGTTTTGGTCTTGGAGCTGCTTGCTGGAGCACAATGGCAAAGGGAAAAGATTTACACTTTTGGCTCTTGGTGAAAGGTTAGCCCTGCAAAGAGGAATGTCAGCTCCACTGGGAGGAAGGCTTGGATGGAAAACAGATCTGCAATGGGGAATTCTGCTGCAAGGGAGTCTCTAAAATCCCTTCCATGGGTGAGGGTTCTTTGAATGCTCACCTACATTAAAAAAACTCCCCATGCGTAGTAAATTATTAGTTCAGGTATCTGGGTCCAAATTTGCTATCTGCAGGGAGCGTTTTAGTAAGGGGGGAGCATTAAACACCCCGCCTACCTGCATGGTTCAGTCCAAGCAGGACAGTATCATATTGCTCTACAGGCTCATCCATTCTTTTGTTTCCCTGTGATTTCTAGTCACAGGTCCAAGAAGTTCTTCTTTTGTCCTGCTGATTTTCCTGGGAAAACTTGCTGTTTACTACTGAATCAGAACAAATGTCAATCAAGTTTTCTGGGGATTGTCATTTGTTCTGATTTACAAGTAAACAGCGGGTTTCCCTGGGGAAAAACCAAAACCTCTAGAACCCGTGACTGGAAACCATGACACAAACAGGAGTGTGGATGAGCCTTACCTCTTCCAAGCCCAGATACAATAAAAAAGAGCTTTGGGATCTCCCACAGGAATATCAGCGAAGTTTTTGTTTGCTCATTATTAGACGCACAAGAAATGATTTGAAGATCAGCAAGTTAAGTTCCCTAAACTTAACACTCTCCTCAAATGAACTGGCTAGTTAGATGATTCCCTCACCTGAAATCTGCATCTGTACATGTCTCTCCCCGCAACTCCATTGCTTAAATAGCAGCTGTGGGGCTGAGGTGGTGGGGGAAAGATTTGGAGAAGGGCATGGGGTTAAAGGTTACATACTGCCTTTCAGAGCACCAGATGCTAGTACTGAAAGCAAAATAAAACGAACTAGCTAAGCATGACATGCAGATCCTAATCATTGGCTTGTGGTCTTCCTTGATGCATCACATGTGGCTCGGCGACCAATTCTATGTAGCATGTACTCCAGGCACAGGGAGCCTTTTGCCCTCCAGATGTTGCTGGGACTACAAATCCCATCAGCCCCAGCCAGCAATACCAATGGTCAAAGATGATGGGAACTGTAGTCCAACAGCAACTGAAGGGCCATTGGTTCCTCACCCATGATGCAGACTGTGAAGATGAGCTTCAGATTTGATGGGAAAACATAGGGGACTGGATTTCCCCATCCTTTCAAGGCAAAGTGGAGGTTCTAAACACCACTGAGGGTTGTGAGCAATGATCAGTTTTAGATTATTTGGTTTGGGACCAAAGTATTTCCTGCCCTCTCCCAGCATATGATCTCAAAGCCATAAGGAGGGCAGCAGAAACTTTTTGAGTTCTGTGGAAAGAAAAAAAGGATCTGGGGTTTCTATAGAGTCATGGGTAAATGTGGGCAGGCAAGTCTTACCCTACACATCAGTTTCCTACATGGCCTTACCTCTCTGCCTCCCTCCCACAATATGGAGGTAATAATATAGAAGAACTACCTTAGAGACTGTTGTGAAGATAACTGAATGTGTACAAGCTAAGTCTCATAGGTGGCACCAGCAAGGAA